AGCTGTGGAACTTTTAAAAACTATGTACTTATAAATCTTTGATCAATATAAAAAAGTGATTTTAAAAAGCTCCAATAAGACTGTTACATATAATCGCCTGATGAATAGTTTGTTACAGTTTAAAAATGTGCAAATTAAGTGAAAGAATATCACAATGTATCTTATGAATCCATAAAGAAACAGTGAAAATTATCACATAAATAAAGAACACTTTCTCAAAACAAAACAAACAAAAAATCCTTAAGTAAGTTATATTGATTCCTTTTGTGAGTAGTGATGAATATTTTTTTTCTTTAAAGTAATAACAGCATAGAAGATATTGAACCACATATGGCAAGGATAACTATGGTTTCATGAAGTATATTTCAGGTAAGAGTGAACGAGCATATATTGAATCATAATGTAAAATCTACCCTTTGCTGGAGTTGGATTTAAAATATAAACTAACCACTGAGTTAAAGAATACACAGAATCAATAACACTGAGCTTTTAGAAAGCATCCTTAGATGTTTTCAACCACTACTAACTGTGCCAACAATTAGCTAATTTCAGACACAAAAACAGGATATGTTACAAAAGGAACCAGGAAGACTGGGAGAACATTATGGATATGCAGAATTTGGATAAAAAGCAATTTGCTTTTATAATCTGTAGGGAAGCAGTCATAACTTGAGATTCATTTTAAATTTTGCTGCATAACTATACAAACGAGATGCCATTTCTTAAGAAATGAAAAAGTACTTCAGAATACAGTTTTATTTACTAAACACCTGCTTATTGATTTTTTAAAAGATAAGAATAAGCAACGAAACACACTTGCACTTGAGAATTTTTAGTGAACTCCCTATCTGGCTACAGGAATATGCTTCTGTACTCTAGCTCCCTTGCAAGAAAAGAGAAGGATGTAAATCATAGGTGACGAGCAGAAAGATATGCTCTGGTTAGAGCTCTGTCATTGATTAATTTGTACTGAATGAGTACTGCACAAAGAGAACTCAGTACATTCTCAAGTGCCCAGATGCAGGACAGAGTGCTTGGGCACACAGGCAAAGAGCTGAGTACATTTAACTACAAAATAATAGAAATCAGTCCAATTCAAAGCTATCTAACATATTCATTCTTGGAAAATATTTAAGTCTTCCAAACATTAACAAAATATCAATCTATCATATACTCATCTAGTTCTGAAAATTCCCAGAACAAAAATAAAATTGGAAGTGGACTATGAAATTTTTGTAAATTAGTTAACATTTCAGATTATTCACAGCTGTATTCTCAGCCTATAGCCAGTGTTCCTAACTAGAGACTGTGAATGGGACTTAAGGGATTCATGATTCTCTAATACTTAGAAATCTTTTTTCTAAGAGATCCCAAGCTTTCCGAAGGAGTCTATGTGTCTATGTCAATTAAAAAAAAAAAAGTCAGGAATCAAACTCAGACCATCTCATCTGCTCCTCATTCCAAGTTAAGCAAGTGAACCAAAGAGAGGATTAACTCTGCCCTTTTGGGGTTTTTTGGTATTGGAGATTGAACCGAGGAGCACTTAACCACTGAGCCAAATCCCCAGCTCTTTTATGTATTTTATTTAGAGACAGGGTCTCCTTGAGTCGCTAAGTGCCTCACCAAGTTGCTGAGGCTGGCTTTGAATTCTCGATCCTTCTGCCTCAGCCTCCTGAATCACTGGCATTACAGGTGTGCCACCACAACTGGCTAACTCTGACTTTTTGGTCTATGTTTATTCAAGTATAATTCAAAAATAAAATGTGTTTATACTTAAAGTATAAAACTTGACATTTTAATTTAAAAAAATTAAAGAAATGTATTTTTTCGTATTTATGGGGCACAGTGTAATAATTTGCTATGCATATGCAATGGGTAAAAAGCCAAACAGAGTTACCAGCATTTCCACCTCCTGAAACATCTATCATTTCTTTGTGTTGAGAAGCTTCAAACTCCTCTCTTCTAGTTCTTTATAAAACATATAATAAATTAATGTGAACTAGAGTCACCCTACTGTGCTACAGAACTTGAGAACTTATTCCTCCTCTGTAACTGTATATTTCGGTATCTGGTATCCAAACTTCCTTGACATTTTGATATATGTATACACTGTGAAATAATTACCACAGTCAAGTTCATAACATTCATAATCTCACAGGTTACTATATAAATTTTTTTTCAATACAACACTTAATGGAACAGTAGTGCTGTAACTACTGCTGTACACTACTTTGTACTCTTGACCTGCTAGCATCTCCCCCTTTACTCCTGCCCTTGGCAACCACCAATCTACTCTCTGCTTCTAGGAGTTTGACCATGTTAGATTCCTTATGTAAGTAAGATCACACAGTATTTATATTTGTGCAACTGGCTTATTTCACGCTAAACATAAATTCTCAAGGCTCTGTGTGTTCTCCCATGTTTTTGCAAATGATAGGATTTCCTCCTTTTAAAATTTTTGAATATTATTCTGCTAGGTATACAATCTCACCTCGTTCATTTAAAAAATCTATTCATCTATAAAGAAACATTTAGGTGGTTTCTGTATCTTGGTTACTGTGAATAACCCTGCAACAGGCATGGGAGAATAGATAGCTTTTCCAAGATACTAATTTTATTTCCTTTGGATATATACCTAAAAGTAGGATTGCCAGATCATAAAGACCTTCTATTTTTAAGTTTTTAAGGAACCTCTGCACTGTCTTCCATAATGGCTATACCACTTTACATTTCCTGTAACCTTCAAGGGTTTCTTTTTCCCACATTCTGGCCAGTAACTGTTATCCTTTGTCTTTTGGACAATAGCCATTCTAACCGGCCTAAGGTAATGTTTCACTGTGGTTTTGATTTGCAATTTCACTGATGATAGAAGATGTTGCACATGTTTCACAAAACTGTTGGTTATTTGTATGTCTCTTTTGAGAATTGTCAATTCAGGTCTTTTGGTCCATTTTTAAATTAGGTTATTTGGGTTTCTGCTTCTGACTTATATGAGTTCTTTATGTATTTTAGATCTTAACCCCTTAACAGATATTGGTTTGCCAGCATTTGATCTCATTCTATAGGCCACTTCTTCAGAATATTCTGTCCAACAATAACAGAACACACCCTCTTTTAAGCTCACAAAAAACATTAACCAAAACAGAAAACATCCTGGGCCATAAATGTATCTTAACAAACTTAATCATACAAAGCATATGACCAGTCTCAGAACACAATGGAATTAAATAATCAATAATTGAAATATAACTGGAAAAGCCCCAATGTTTGGAAATTAAACAACATATTTTCAAATAACACATAGGTCAAGGAATTGTCATAAGAAATTTAAAAACATAAACTAAATGAAAATAAAACTTATTAAAATCTTAAAAACGCAGCAAAAGCTGTTGTTCTTAGAGGAAAATTATAACAATAAGATGCATACAACACAAAAGAAGAAAATCTACAATTCTGTCATAGGAAATTAGAAGAAGAGGAACTGTGTAAGTTTAAATAAACCCAAATAAATGAAAATAAAATAATAAAAATTAGGCCAGAAATCAATGAGATTAAAAATAGGAAGGGAGGCTAGAGTTGTAGCTCAGCGGTAGAGCTCTAGACTCATACGCATGAGGCACTGGGTTTGATTCCTAGAACCACATACAATTAAGAAAATAAAATAAAGGCCCATCAACAACTAAAAAATATTAATGAAAAAGGGGGGGTGCAGGAAGGGCTACAGGTATAGTTTAGTAGTAGAGCACTTGCTTAGCATGCATGAGGTACTGAGGATCAAAGCATGCCCAGCAAATGAATACACTCTCCAAATGATTAAATAAAATAAAAACATAAACAAGAAGACTACAGGGAAAAATCAACAGAATCAAAGGTTCCTCTTTGACATTATCAAAAAAATTAATCTAAATACCACTACCACATGACTGGTATTCTGCCTTGATGCATCTCTCCTATAGCTCCTAAGTTATCTTCCAAGATACATAGTCCCATTTTTTCTGATTTAAAACCTCTGTTGATTCTCTATTGCCTAAGAATAAATTGAAACACCTCAATCTAATATCTTTAAGTTTTTATAAACTCTGTTTTCATATATTTACCCAGGTTCATCTCTCACTAAGCCACCTCTTCTACTCAAAATTGTGCCACCATGAAGGCATGCCCGACTTTGACGGGTTCTTTCAATTCTCTTTCAATCTCCCCACCCTCTAGCTCTGAGGTTACCGTCTCAGAGAAGAGTTTCCCAAATCTCTAGGCTGTTTCTGGTTTACCTTT